GTCCGACAATGAAAATCCGTTGTATTGTAAAATTCGTTATATCAAAATTCGTTGTAGAAAGAGTTGACTGTATATTTTAATGCTTAAATGTATTGTATAATAACTTGTACAAATATTGTACAATACATTAAGAAAATTTTGTATTAATAGTAAAGTTGACCTGACCTGATTTGACAAAATTCAGGTCAACTAATTATTATTTTAGAACAATGATTTTATTATTCAAAAATAATATTTTATCATTTAATTAGAATAATTTATTATTAAGATTACTTGTCTAAACTAAAGTTTCGAACAGTTTAAATTAATCTGAAGATTTTCAGATCGATTCAGTTCAGATTAATTTCAAATTGTATAAAAATCAATCTGAAAATTTCATCAGATTTTTTTCAGATTATAATTCTAATCTGAACTGAAAAAAATCTGAACTGGACTGATAATTTCAGATTAATCTGAAAGTTTAGTTCAATTATATGCGAAACTCTTAGAGGATCTCAAAATTTGCGAATTCTCTAAGAAAATTGCAAAAATTTAGTGAAACTCTTAGAAAATCACAATTTTTTGCAGTTTCTTTTTGAATTTTGCAAAAAAATTGAAGAATTGCAATTTTTTGCGATTTTTCTTAGAATTTTGCAAAAATATTATGAAACTCTTGAAGAGTTGCAAAAAATTGCGATTTCTCTTTGAATTTCGCAAAAAAATTGTGAAACTTTTGAAGAATTGCAATTTTTGCAATTTCTTTTAGAATTTTGTAAAAATATTATGAAACTCTTGAAGAGTTGCAAAAAATTGCGATTTCTCTTCGAATTTCACAAAAAAATTGCAAAACCCTTAGAGAATCGCAATTTTTGCAATTTCTCTTAATATTTTACAAAAAATATCGTAAAATTTTTGGAGAGTTGCAAAAAATTGCGATTCTCCTAGAGTTTCATATATAAATTACGAATTTTTTATATAATCGAATTGTAATTTCAGATTAATTTGAAAATTCCAGTTTAGTTTAGATTTTTACCAATCTGCGGTTTAGTTCAGATTCAGATTGGCATTTTTAAGATTAATAATCTGAATTGAACTAAACTAAAATTTTCAGTTCAGATACAGATTGGCATCTAATCTGGACTGAACTGAACCATTTAGAGCTTTAGTCTAAACTTATTTTAAATTTGATAAAATATCTAAATTATAGTTTGCTAATTTTTACTAAAGTTTTAATATAGTTTTACATTTTTATAAACTTTGATATAATTTTATCTTTTTCAGAATTTCATAGATTTTTTAATAAAGTTTTAATATAATTTTGTTAAATTTTATCATTTTCTATTTAGATAACTTACAAAATCTCTAGGTTTCATTTAGCAATCTTATTTATTATTATTTTTGAATGATAGTTTATTATTCTTGAATAATGTTTTATCAATAATTTATTATCATTTTTAATTGATGATTTTATCGTTAAATTAAAATAATTCATTATTAAGATAGTATTACAACTAGTTGCAATTATATGATGCTTATTTATTACCAGTTACAACTAGTTGCAACTTAATTTTATTAATATTATAACTAGTTGCAATTCTATAATACTTATAGGATAGGTTTAATAAACTGAAAAGAATAATATAGTTCACTTTTATTACTAGTTGTAACTAGTTATAATATTATCTTTATTTAATATCATTCAAAAATAATGATTTTATCATTTAAGAATAATATTTTTATTATTCAAAAATGATATTTTATTATTTAATTAAAATAATTTATTATTATCTTGAATGATGGTTTTATTGTTTAACAAAAATGATTTATTATCATTTTTCTTAAATGATAGCTAATTGTTCTTCTTAAATAATTTGATCAGGTTAAGTTAAGTCAGATCAGATCAAATGAAAATTTAAACTAAGTCAAATTTTTGTTTAATCTGATCTGATCCTCTTAGTTTAGGTAACTTGATTGATCTAATCTGAATTGACTTGTTTAGAACTTAAGAATAATAAAATATCAAATTAAAATAAATTTACTTAGCTTAAAATAGGAGAGAATACTAGATATATATATATCTATATATTATCAGAATTTGGTGAATAAAATAAAAATTAAATTAATAAAATTAAAAAATATATTTTTAAGAAACTAATGTTAAATTATATATCATATATATAACCTTTAATATCATAAACTATTCTATATAAAGAAAATATTCAAATAGACTAAAAAATTTTAAAAATAAATATATAATAAAATATTAATATTTTATTTTATTAGAATATTAGTAAAAATAAAATAAAAATAAAAATAAACAAAAAATAATTTGAAATTAATATAAATATTGATTCAATATTAAAAAGGTAATTTTAATATTTTTTATAATATTTTTATATTATTTTTTAAAATTGAGTTTCATTTTATTAATGTTATTATATTTATTTGTATATAAACTCTATTAATAAATTTAAAAGTAAATAAAAAAAGAACAACTAAATGAATTATAATACATATAAAGGAATTATTTACTATAATGTTTTATTTATATGATTGATTTTAAATTGAAAATATATGCTAATGAAATGTATGAAAAATTTTAAAAAGGGTAACAAATAAAAAAATTTCTAAAAAAAAAATATCAAAGATATATATTATTGCAAATTGAATAATAAGCTCTTCATAATCATTTTAAGAAATCTATAGTATTATAGTTTTTAAGAAAATAGAATAATCTAAAACTTCTAAATAAACTGATTTATATAACTTTATTATGTAAAAATACCATTTGAAAACTTATGATTTATTTAACTTTATATAATAAAGTTGTTAAAAATAAAAATTTTGATTTTTAAAATTATATTTTTTTTGTAATCATATGATTTGATATACAAATAAGCATATTAAACAAAATTATTATTTTATAAGTTGTGTAATTTTAATTTTTAAATTAATACTAAACGATCTGCAGATTTTTACCCCAAATTGTTATAGTATATTTCTGCAGAACTAAAAAAAACCAGTATTTAATTAGTTAATTTAAAATTGAACAGGTTTACAATCAATGTTTAATGTCACATTGTTAGACAATTTTATCTGGCGTTGGAAAAAGGCGTCAAAAATCACGGATTATTGGTATTTACTGCGCTTTACGTCAACTTCTTTATAAAAAAAACACGAGTATAACTTTGCTTTTCAGTTCGTTTATTTTATTTTATTTTTTTTAATTCTTTACGTTAAATATACATAAGTTGGAATAAACATGAAGATTAGCTTGGCTTATTTGTTGGTTGTTCTGTTTGGTGTTTCTGATGCCGCTATTCATAAGTATGTTATTAATTTTGAGCGGAAGTTATAAATATTTATTACGAGCTATGATTATTAAAAGAGAATTTAAACTGTTTAAACTTTGCTATTTTATAAGGATGACGTTGAAGAAAATTCCTGAGACTCCATCTCAGAAAATTCATCGTTATTCACAAACCGGTGATTATTTGACTCAGAAATACTTTGGTAGTTCTCGTCATACGCAAGAGGCAAACCAAATGTTTGTCCCAGATTCTATGGGTAGAGTACAACACGGCGTACCTTTAACAAATTTCATGAATGCTCAAGTGAGTATTAGAAAATAAATAAATATATATTTATATAATTTTGGTTGAATATCATCAGATATTAAATCAGATTGATTTAATGCAAATATCTTTTAATTTAATCTTTTTATTGAAATAGTATTTTGGTGAAATTTCTCTTGGATCTCCACCACAAAAATTCAGTGTTGTATTTGACACTGGTTCTTCTAACCTTTGGGTTCCTTCCACACATTGTACTTCCATCGCATGCTTTCTTCATCGTCGTTATGATTCTGGTAAATCTAAAACTTTTAAGTCTAATGGTACCGAATTTGCGATTCAATACGGTACTGGTAGTCTGGAAGGCATTATAAGTAATGTAAGCGGATTTTATTTAATTTATTTATACTGAATGTCTTTTCAGTTTTTCAAACTTGACATTTATTATTATTGTAGGATAATTTAGGGGTTGGGGATATTACCATTGAAAACCAAGATTTTGGTGAATCTGTGAAAGAACCTGGTTTTACTTTTGCTTTTGGCCGATTCGATGGCATTTTTGGACTTGGTATTTATTTTTAAAATCAGAGTTATTCTATAACGAATAAGATTTCTTATGTGATTTGTTATGATGAATCAATAGGTTATGATAGGATCTCCGTAAAAGGGGTTGTGCCTCCGTTTTATCATATGGTTAATCGAGGTCTTATCGACGAGCCAGTTTTTTCTTTTTGGATTAGTGAAGCAGATAAAGATGAAGAAATAGGAGGCGAAATTGTTTTTGGTGGTATCGATCAATCACGTTATACCGGAGATATCCACTGGGCTTCAGTACGAAGAAAAGCTTATTGGGAAGTAGAACTCGAAAAGGTTGTTTTTGATGGTGAAGATGTTGAAATGACAGATACAGGTGCAGCCATTGATACTGGTACATCACTTTTGGCAGTACCTACTATCGTTGCTGATTTAATTAACAAACAAATTGGCGCAAAGAAAAATTACGCTGGTCAATATATCATTGATTGTGACAAAGTTCCGAGTTTACCTGATTTTAGCATGCAGTTCAATGGCAAATTATTTACCTTGACTGGTTTCGATTATATCTTAAAAGGTATTTTATATTCTAAAATCAAATCTTATTTAATTTATTTAATTTTGTACACTCGAATTTAACGAAAATTTAACAAAAATTTTAGCTCAAAATCAATGTATTTCTGGATTCTATGGCTTAGATATCCCTGAACCTCTTGGTCCAATTTGGATCAGTAAGTATCTTAATGAGTTGTTGTGATTAATTATTTTATATCAAATAATCAATTCAATCCGTTCATTTAATCCACAGTTGGAGATGCTTTCCTTCGTAAATTCTATACTATCTATGATCTTGGCAAAAATCAGGTAATCATCATTTCAGTTTTAATATATTATTACCTTATTTGATATTCAATTTAATATTGTTTTTATTTAAGGTCGGCTTTGCTGATGCAAAATAAACAACTTTTAAAGTTTAGATCTTTTTTACTGATTAATAGTAAATAATTTATTGAGATGTAATACATATCCATTTTTAATTGTATCAAATTATATTTTATTTTTTTTATTTTTGAGGTATTCATATAAGAATAAATGGGTGCGTGAAACAACTATTTAAATTGATTAAACATATTTATGTTTTTAATTTTCATTTAATAAGATCAAACGATAAAGTTACATTTCATGTTAACTGAAATCTAAAATTTCTGAAATTATAAAGATTTTTTAGATAATTTATTGTTGTAATAAAAATAATAGTATAACCAAACACTGCAAACAAATGAACAAAGTAAATACATAAACGGCTCAAGAAAAATTAAAATAAAAAAACGTAAATATAAACCAAGTAAACAAAGGGGTATCTCTTAAAGGATTCTCTAATATAAAGAAATTTGAATAATAAAATATAAAAAATATCAACCTTTAAACGTAAAAAAAAAAAGCCAAATGATAAAAAAAACCCCCCAATATATGCAATTTCTATTACCAAAAAAAAAAAAAAAAAGTAAATATATATATATAATATATATATATATATATGTATATGTATAGTAAACAAATCATTAACATATTAGTACATTTAAAAATGCTTAATTATCAAAGGATTTACGCATAAGGATTAACGGCCAAAACTTTGATAACCGGCGGACTTTTTTTGCAATCCGCAGTGATAACAACTTGAAGATAACAAAGCTCTCTAATTATCTGAGAGTTAGGAATCTCAGGATCAGAATCTATTGGCAATTGAGGTAACTCTGTTACTTTGATAAGTGGAGTCGTTGTTTTAGTGGTAAGTGATTGGTCAAATGTCTCTGAAACTGAACTATCTACTTTTTGAAGTTCATAAGTAGAAACAGGCGGAACTATAGTAAAAGCATCTTGATTGATTTCAGCGTCTTCACCGTTTACAAGATTCTCATCATCGATATCATCTTCACCAATATCAGAGCTAACATCAAATAATCTATTCTCATCCTCAAAAGGACGACTAGTTACATCCATTAATTCATAATGATAATCTTCAGCAAGCAAAGCGTCTTCGTCTACATCTAAAACATCATCGTCATCCTCTGCGAAACCTTCATCATAAAGGATTGGTTCAAGAGAACTGACACCAGGTTTCCAACGTAAAGTGAGATCACCAGTCTCATCATCAAAAATAAATTTTTCTAAAGGTAACTGGTCCAAGTGAACACGTTTTTCAATGCCAAAAGCTGGGACTAAAACATCAAAAGCATGATCTTTAACGCCAACAACGACTGCTTCGCGAATGACAGGACCAGATTGTACCGACAAATTATGAAGAAGAACACAAAGGAAGAGATGACTACTTTGTTCCTGAGCATTCTTTGCAGCTTCTTTCTTAACATTACAATGATTAGCTGTCTTTTGAACGGTGTCTTTATCAAGGTAGAATCGTTTCTCTATAATTCAATCGAATAATTAATTGTTTATTCAATTTTTTTTTTTAAAAAAAAAACAAATAATTTGAAATCACTCACCACCCGATAAAGCAGCGTCAAGCATACGATGAACAAGAATATCAGCGTATCGACGAATGGGAGATGTAAAGTGAGTATAGAGAGGTACATTTAAAGCGTAATGATGATATTTGGCGATATCCAAAGTACCAGTACAGAAATATTTTGCTCTTTGCATTGGTTTAATGGCGAGGAGTCTTAAAACCTAAAAATCGTAAAAATTACTATTAAGTATACATTAATTAAATGTGAAATAACTTTAATGAATCTAATAACATACTTCTCTAACACTGTTATCGTATATAGTGTTAAAAGACCTTTGCAATGCTCCAGCAGTTGAAACATCAAAATCATATCCTAATCTACTAGCATGCTCAACGAAATAATTCTGAAATACAAAAAAATATTTATAAAATAAATTAGAATATATTAAGTAAAATGAAAATTTTCTTTAACCAATAAATTATACAAAACATACAAGTCTGCGCTCAATAGGAGAAGCATGGCGTCTTAACAAAGCTTGTTCTGGAAAAGCACTAGAAATTTTTTGTGCGACGCTCATGTTTGCAAGTAACATGAATTCTTCAATAAGGCGGTTAGCATCTTTATATTCATAGACAAAGCATTCGATTGGATTATTATACTCATCAAGTTCAAAATTGAGCTTGATTGAACCCAAAGACAAGGCACCACGTTTATAACGTTGCTCACGAAGACGTTGAGACAACTCCTATTTAAGGCAAAAATAAAAATAATGTTTTAACAATTGTACTTAAATAATTTATTATGAATAAAAAATTTTTAACTTACATGTAGTAATTTGATATCAGCTTCTACCTCTTTAGAATTATATTCATTAAATATTTTGACCTCTTCATTTAGGGTTTTTCCGTCAATCACTTCCTGAGCATTTTCGTATGACAATTTAGCGCATGTTCTGATAACAGTTCGACCATACCATGTCTCTATAGACTTCCCTTCGGGTGTCATTTTCCAAATTACAGAAAATGCAAGTCTAATAATATTATAGGAAAGAAAGTTATTCAAAGTCAAGAATTAATTATAGTGTTTTGAAAAAATTACCTTTCTACACCAGGATTCAAACTGCATAATTCTTCACAAAGTAATGGTGGGAGCATCGGAACAGATTTTTGTACTAAATATACAGTAGTAGCTCTCTTACGAGCATCTCTATCTAGAGGAGTATTTGGTTTCACAAAATAGCTAGTATCTGCAATGTGAACTCCTATTTCATAATTACCATCAGGTAACCGAGAACAAGAGACAGCATCATCAAGATCCTTGGCTGTAGAAGGATCAATGGTGAAAATTCTAGTAGAACGTAAGTCACGACGATTGTCAATTTCTTTTTCAGGAATGGTCCATGGCATCGAAGGAAGGCATTTCGTTACAACTTCATTAAATTCCTCTGAAGATACATTATTATCTCTAAGAAGAGCTTCGGTTTCAACATCTATATCTCCAATCTCACCAATTTGAGTGACTAAAGTACCGAAAGGATGAAGGGAAGTGATAGGCCAACGTTTAATACACGCCTAATTGGGATCAAATATTAAAAGTCATTAATATATAAAATGAATCATTTTCATCATTTTTATACTATAAAATATAAAATACTTACAACAAACAATTGCTGAGCATACGATTGATGATTTTCGACAAAATCAGTTGGAGCTTGCTCTGTAGGAATAGCAATCAAAGGAACGCGTTTATCGGTCTATAAGGTAATGAATATAGGTTAATATTTAGATAAAATCCTAGCTAATAAAAGAATTGCTTAAGATTTACCGGTTTAAACCAAACGATCTTTGGACGTTCATTTCTTTCGTCTTTCCTATCATCTCTTGGTTCTTCAACTTTTGGTTCAATACCAGCAGCCCGATCTTCTGCTTCACGACGAGCCTTTTCGGCAGCTTCTCTTTCTTTGGTCGCGGTGGAAGAAGGCCTAAGAAGAGCAAGCGTTCTACGTTTCATGATTATAATAATATACCATTAATTCATAACCATGATATCTTAATAGTTTCAAAATAAAATTAAAATTAAAATTATATACCCAGAAAAAAGTTGTCCAGGCATTCTTTCCATAACAGCTACAACATGACCACAGTATTTAGGTCTTTGATCGTCTGTAACGATATCATCATCTTCAAATAACATCAATCCTTGCCCTTCGACTTCGACATCATCTTTCTTTTTATCAACTTTTTTCTTATCAATACCGGCACTTTCCTCCTTTTTTCTTTTCTTTTCTTCTTTTTCTTTTTTTGTTTGCCAAACTTTTTCTGGATCTAATAATTCTACAGCTACTACATCACCTTCAAGAGCTCGATTCCTATCCTTGGATCCACAAATATAAATATCAGCGTCGAGAGATTCTGTAGTTACGTAGGCATCGGATCGATTGCGTTTATTGATACGTAAAACACCAGATACTAGTTGGCCTTGTTTGAGAAGTGGAGGAAGATTTGCTTGAGGAAGATAAGGAGCAAAAAGTGATTTTCTTTGCTGTTGATTGTTGGAATTCTGTTGATTTTGTTGTTGCTTCTTTATCATGCCGTATTTAGGTGGAAATGGTTGAAAAGGTTGAGCTAAGGCAGAAAGGGGTGAGGCAGCTGAGTATTATTGAAAGAACGAAAATGACATTTGCATTCATTACTTCACCCTTTCACTCATGGTGTCGGAGCATGAATTATCGATAAAGCTATTCTACACAGACAATATTTCTTAATTATACTTACTTGATCGCCAGTTACCATCAAAGTTTCTAGAGTTACTTCGACGATGACCACCTTTAGCATCTGTTCCGGATTGTCTGCCTTGATTTTTCTCAAGTTCTTTAAGAACATCTTTGCTTCCATTAAGAGCAACACTATGTCGTCGAGTATGTGTCGGAATATTAGGTTTTACAACAGATGCAGAAGTTGAAGCAACAGACAACGTGTGACCAAGTGATTGATGACGACGATGAGATTTTTTAACAGCCGACTGTTGTTGCTCTTCATTTTTCTTGAAATCAAAGGGCGATTTCGGTGAATCTAATTCTTGCCTTCTATCAACATACTGTGTCATTTCATCAATGTTAATAGATTTACGGTTATTCTGGTTCTTTTTACGTCGTGCCTTCTTTTCTTCTTCAGTCTCTCCATCTTCATAGTCTTCCTTTCTCTTGTCTACTTCCTTTTCCTTCTGAGCCTTACCTTTGTCCAAACTCATACGTCTCAAAGAAGAAATAGTATCTTGTAACGCATTTTCAATATCCATTGGCTTACCATCTTCTGAGTCAGGAATGCCTTTCAATGAACTGGTAACCGCCGAAGAAGTCAAAGGAAAAGAAAATGAAACGGATGCATTTTTCTTGTGCTGCTTTGCAGCGGAAGGACGTTTTCCAGAACTAATGCTTGATTCTCCTCGTTTATGTTTTGACGTAGGTTCAGTTTGGCTTTCTTCATCTTTTTTATCTGATTTTTGAGGTTTAGGAGGAACGACTGGCAAATTTTTGAGACTAGCAATAATTTGTTGTAGAGATTCAAGGGCATCAGACTTGTTTTCAGAGTCATCTTTACTACCCCTAGATTTCCCGGCAGCATTTTTTGAGGAAGCACTTTGGATTTCCGCAACATTAGCCATAGAAGTACCACGACGATGAGATGATTTGTTGAGGTTGTTGTTAGAATTTTTGTTTTTATTTGGGATATCAAGAGTGTTAGCCGTTGACTTTCTACGTTGGTGTTGGGCAACAGATTGCTTGTTGTCATTTAAGTCCAACACATCATCTTTGTTTTTAGGTTGATCGGTCCCATCAGCTGAGAGGTTACGATTTTTACTCGTCTTCTTTTCTTTTTTCTTCCTTTCATCACTATTGTCGTTCCAATTATTGTCTTCTACGACGGCGGCAGTTTTATTTCCTTTAGTATAATTACCGTCGCCCTTAGATGAGCCTTTCCAGCTTTGTCTGCTTTGCTTCTTACGTGCTTGTTTTTCAGCAGTATCTTCCAACATGGTGTTATCTGCGGAAGTAGTAACGACAGAGGTAATAGATAACGTTTCACCAGAGGAAGACCCCGCAACAGTAAGGTCACTATTCGTTTCGCTCGACATGGTTGTGTTCAAAAGAATATTTATCTTTTCTGAAAGTCGGTCGTTAATTTTTTCTTTTTAGTTCCAATATATATAAGTGAATATAAAGGGAGTGTCACAACCAGGTTCAGAAATTAAGGAAAGAACATTTGGTCTTTACGACAAAAAACCACGAAAGGGCAATAGCAGTCGGTTTACTGCCGAAAAAATTGTAGTTTTATAAAAGAGTGAAAGCGAATGAAGAAGAAAGAATATCTTATCCCTTGCTTTATTTGATAAAAATTCACGTGACTTAAATTTTATTAGTGTAATCGGATTATCATTAATATTATTAGATTTAAAAAATTTCAATTAATATTAATATTAATATATAATTATAATAATAATATTTATTTTTATTATTTTTATTTCACTAATAATTTAATTGAGAAATTTTTTCAAATTTTTTCAAGATTTTTATCAATCATATTACTACTTCTGTTATTTGATAATTTTATTAATAACTAATAAAGTATTATATTTATATTTTATTACTTTTAAATATAATATTAAAATTAATTTATTTGATTTTATTTGATTTTTTGAAATTAATATTTACTTAATTGTTTTTTTTTTTTACATAAATTTAATATTATTAAATAAAACTTAATAATAATTTTATAAGTTTGCTAAAGATAAGATTTAATAAAATTATATTAAAATATATAAAGTAAGTTCAAAAAAAAGTAAAATTATATCAAAGAAAAATTATATTAAAAATCTTAATAAAAAATTAATAAAGCTAAAGTTTAAATATTTTACCAAATTTAAAATAAATTTAAACAAGCAATTTTACATATTTATATCTTTATATATAGTATAAAATATTACAAATACTAAATAATAATAAATTATATAAATTTTCCTAAAAGTAACTTTAATATTTATTTTAGAAAGTTTAGATTTATTTTATTTTTATTTTTTATATTTTTTAATAGTTTCAGTAAAAAAAAATTATAAAAAAAACTAAATCTATTATTATGATATTTATAAATTTATATTATATAGAATAAATATTAAAAAAAGGATTAAATCAATATTTTATATATTTTAAAATAAATGATAATTTATATTTTTATGATTTTAAGATACTGTTTGTAAGAAATTTATTTTTTATTCTTACAATAATGATGAAATATCAGTTTAAACTTATTGATAATTAAAGAATGATTTAAAAAAATGAGAAATTCAAATACTAAAATAGCACATATATATTTTTGATTTATTAATATAATTTATTTTTTATTATAAGTAATTTTAAAATAAACTAAACTTATTATTAATATAGAGATCAAAAGAATCAACTTGTTTTAATTAATTAGAATATTATTGAATTAATAGAAATTATTAGCTATTATTAAAATTGATTCTAATTTATTTTTAATTTACTGATTTAAAATATGATATCTATATATACAAATATTAAGACATATATTGATAAGAAGTTAGTAATTATTTAAATGATATTAGAATATTATTCTATTAAAATGTTATATTTTAAGAAAAAGTTTTGAATTCAATATAATAAAAAATTATAATAAATATATTATAGAAAACAAGAATAATTTTTTTTTTGATTTATGCTTAAAATAATAAAATAATAACCAGTATTATTATGTATAATAAAATTTTTATTAAAGCTATTTAAAAAAATAAAACTAATAAATTAAAAGAAAATTTTAAATAATTTAAAATATAAATTAATATAGCTATATTAACTTATCATAAACTTTAATATGTTTTAAAATATAAAATTTATAATTTTTTATTTTTATATAATAAATTATTATAATTAATATTATCAATAATATGAATAAGTTTAAAAGTAAAATAAAAAGGTAAATCAGTATAATTATACCTTTAAGAACTAATTATTTAAATAAAAGTTTTTAATTAATTAATTTTACTAAACTTTGTAAAATATTCTAATGTTATTATAAGATAAGTATTATTTAAATTATATTTCTATGATTTGAATTTTGAAATTGAATTAATAAAGGTTAAAATTCAATAATTGATAATATAAAATATATATAGTATAGCAAATATACTTATATAACTATATCAATTATTTATTAATTATATATAAATAAATTATTATATTATATAAAATCAGCTACTTCCAAATTAAAACTTTGAGCAATACAATATATAGTTAGGCAAACTTTACAAATTAATAAATTCAAGAGTTTAAATTATATAAAATATGATTCTAAAGAAATAAATTAAGATTAAGCATTATTAATAAGTTAGCTTAGAACTAGTATTTGAAATTTAATATGTAGAATATATGTATATAAAATTTTAAAATTTTGCACATTCAAAAATATAATTTTTGTATTTAAAAATAATATTTTATATTAATATTATTAAAAAATAATATATAAATATTATTTTTTGTATATGATTTTTATTTTAAATTTTAAACATTACTTAAAATTGAAATAATTAATTAAGTAAATTACATAATAAATTAATTTTTTAGATTTTAAAGATTTGAATAAAGTTATAAATATGTGACTAAGTTATACTAATTATAATATATAATATAAAAGTATTATAATAAAATTTTAAATAATATAAAAGTTAACTTTAAGTCAATTTTTTGAATATTTCATATATAAATTATATGTTATTATAAATATTAATAATTTAGATTTAAAGATTTAGACAAATCATAAATACTTAGCCAAATTATACTGATTATTATATTTGATATTTTAAGTTATATAATAATAGTTAAATTATGATAATATTTAAAATTAGATTTAATAAATTTTAATTTTAAATTATAAATATTATTACTAGTAAAAATTATATAATAATAAATCGATTTTAATAAAAATTAATACTTTTTTTATGCTATATATTATAATATATGTGTATATGTTATATATAACTATTTTAATTAGAGATAATTAATATAAAAAATACATTAGTTTTAGCACTTTTTTATATGTTATTATAAAATGTTACTTCTAGTAAAACTTATTCAATAATAATTAGATTTTAATAAAATTTGGTATTATATTTCTTTATATTAATATAAGTTACTTATTAAAAATTAACTTATATTATAATTTAAAATTTTTTAATTAGAGCTAATTAACATAAAAATTATATTGATTTTAGCATTTTTTTATGTAATTGTAAAATGTTACTTTGATTGAAGTTATCTAATAATAATTAGTTTTTGATAAATTTTGATATTATTTCTTTTTAATTAAAGTGATATTAAGTTTTAGCGATTTGTTATAAATATTAATTAGCTTTTTTTCTATTATTATTTATTAATATAAATAAGTTGAGATCATTTGATGATTTATTTAAACACCTTTTGAGAATAATTGTTTGTCTTCATCTGTTAAGAATAGAGTCAAAGATTTTGAATTGAGCATTATAAAAGTTATTACATCTAAGTTTTAAAGCTGCTTTAATTTGATTAGACTTATGTTTATTCTTGAATTATGTAAAATTAATGTAAGATCATGAATTGTAAGTTTAATGAAAACAGGTCAAGTGAGGTTATACAAAGTTGTTATAGGAATTGTATTGTTATAGATAGGACCCAAAAAGCCAAAATAAAATTTGAATGAATGCATTTTTTTATCAGACATTATAACTTTTAAATGATAATAAGTAGTTGGTAAACTTTCCTCTTTATTTAATTTTTATGCTTGTTAAATACATTGAGTTCTGCAATATTAACGTTATATTCAACGCTTATAAAAAATTTTAATAAATATTTATATAAAAATATTATTTGTTATTAATATGTTAATTTTTATTATGATAGTATTAGATTATTATAAAAAATTAAATTAAATGAAATGAAAAAGAATTCTTAAAACTTTAACAAATATCAAGTAAACTTATCAAGCATTAATAACCATCATGATAATGTTTATTTATATATACAAAGATTGAATATTTTAGGGTTTTATTATGCTTTGAAATTTTACACTTTACGTTTAAACTATAGCGATAGTATCAAATATGAAGCTAAAATTTTCAATAAATTTTTTTTTTTTTTTTATAACTTTACTAGTTTATCGAGAGAATTATATTTACAAATCTACAATGTATTATAAAGAAGTTACTTCCGAATGTTAAATTTGAGAAAGTAAATTATTTGAAATCGTGTAAATTCCGCCTGTTTCATTTGAGTAATGTTTATGGAATAAAAAAATATATATCTATCTTTTTTTCAATCATCATCCTTTTTGAACAATGCTTTTCGGTGAAGTGGTAATTCACCTTTGTTTAACCATACCAAACCACATGCATTGCAAAGGGTCTTTATTCATCATTCATCAATAAATAAAATAAGTCAATTAAATCAATATGTGATATTAAGTTTAATTTAAAATCAAATCAAATCAAATACAAACCTTGCCACCACCCGGACCTTTCCTCACTAATGGTGTGTTATGACCATCAATTCCACAATGTTGACATCGCCAATGAACTAATTCTTCAACTGACAATTTTGTAGCTTTGAGATCACTTCTCATTCTTGATGTTGGTGATCCAGGAGAAAAACTAATACCATTTTGTAATGATGTTCTTGTTGGTCTAATTCTTGCAATGCTACGTGATGTTGCTCTACGCATTCGTCTGTAATATAAATTAATAACATTTATTAGTTCGAGCAATTTAAAAAATGAAGAAAACTCTCTCATGATCATACCTTATATCTCTCTCTTTATCCAATCTTATTTTTTCTAATTCTTCTTCAGTCAGTATCTCTAAGACGGGACACCACTCATCAACATCTTCGATATTACGAAAGACTGATTTCAATGGTTCATGTTCATTATCAGAATCGTCAGATTTTATTTCCTTTTTATATTTTAACAATTGTTCATGGATGCTATGTGCAATTAACGTTACAAATTCTCCACCAATTCCAAGATCTGACACTAAATATTTACTAAATTCTTCAGGTGTCAAATCTGAACTAAGATCCCATTCGAATCTATCACGAAGGCTAAGCTTCCCAACATTTATGTCAAGCTAAATTTCAAATGATGAAGGAAAAAAGATCATTAGTTTATAATCCTAAAATTAATCATTTAATTAGATAAATGAATTAATACATGCATTGATAAGAACTCTACTATCATCTTTTGGTGAATTGCAATCAGTCATCATTTCATTTTCTTGAATTTGTTTGCGAATGGAATCTGCAATGGTTGCAACAAATTCAGAAGATGGAAGATCCAAGTCTAGACACATTATTTCCGCGAAATGTTCGGGTGTGATCAATTTTTCTAAATTGAAAAACGTTAATTTCGGAAAAAGGAAAATTAATGTTAAATTAATGTAATTACCATTAAGATTCCATGTAAATGTGTCACGCAACTTATGAGTTCCAATATCAAAATCTAATTTTATTGGAATTAGAATTTCTTTCTGTTCTGCATTGCGTTCCAATTCTTTATGAGAACTAACAATAAAGTAGAATAATATTATATACATCAACTAAGAAAGTTATAAATAATGAAATGTAATGTTCTTACTTGTATACGTGTTTGGTTCTACTTCTAACTCTATTCACAACAGGAACATCAGTAGCGAGACCAGTCGCAACACGTTTTTCCGATGATGATATATTTATAACCTCGTCCTCAAATAAGTCTGCTACGTCATCGGAGTCTTCAGCAAGAGAGCCGTGGCCTCCACCACGTTGTCGTTTTTTCCCTCCCTTTATCATTGGTAAAACTAAAGCGGTATGCCCTTGCTTTAAACGACTTGAATAAGTGCTACAAAATTTTTTTTTTGGCAAGTTGGCTTTTGCATTCATGTTGTATTGCATATTTATTGTTTCCGACACTAAAAAATTTCAAAATTTTAGTAAATTTTGACATTTGTGAAATTGCGATTCAATAAAGTTTGATACAAAATATCTATTAGAAAATAAAAATTTACTATGTCGCGTAACCCTTCGTGGAGCTTGTGTATAAGAACTGTTTGAAATGATTGTTGTGGGCGCATGAATATTCTTACTTGGCAAAGAACGTCCGTACGAAGACGCGTAATAAGCAGGTGCTATCGCTCGACGCATTGGTTGAGGTGCGTGGTGATAAGAATATTGTTGAGGAGTAGGTGCCAAGTGTTGGTAAGTTTGTTGTCGATAAGTATATTGAGGTTGATAAACGTAAGCATGTTGTTGATGACTTTGAAGAGAGGTCTTCATGGTGTACGGGTTATAATTTGAAGAATTCATTGAAATAATTTGTATAACCTGGGCTAATGATAATTTTGCAATATGCTGGAAAGAATTGACAGAGTATAGAAAGTATCGGTTTTGAAAAAATGAATGTCAATCATTCATTTCTGCTTTTCACAGTCATCAATATATGCAATGGACCAATCACATGACTTTTCATAATGTATAAATCAGTTTTTCTACTGGAATATTAGAAATACAGTCGAACCTTTATATAGTCACCCAGCATAGCGGACATGCTTATATCACAATGTCCATTTTGAGCAATCATATAAATTATTAATTATCACGTTATATAAATTAGCTTAGAGATAAAATAATTAATTAAATTACATAATAAATTATTTATTTTAGATTTCAAGAATTTGGGCAAAAAATGAATGGGCGAACTATGTCGACCATTATATTTCATATTTTAGGTTATGTATTATAAAAGTATCATATTTAAGACAAATTTTTGAATATTTAAATCATGTATAATTAATAATTATAATAAATTATTCATTTTATTTTCAATTTATCAAATGTTTATGTACATATAAATTGAAATAAAATTAATTAATGCTAAAATTTCAAGTTTAAATTATGTTAATCTTTAATATTGCTAATTAACTAATTAATCAAAAAAATTGATAATTATATTTATAAATTATAAAAATTATTTATTTTAATAATAATTTAATTTATAAAAATTAATACTTTAATACAAAATATATTGGTATATAGTATATTATTATACAAATGGTGGCTAAGTTATTAAAATCACCTTATGGAATTAGAAATTGATTTTGAGTAAATAATGATTAAAGAATGCTACACTACAGTAAACATTTTCAACTAATAATAAATTGTTCTATTTTAAATATTGAGTTGAATTAATTAATAAAATGATGTTATGCTTGGTTTATCTGCTTGGTTTATTTACTTATAATACTTAATGATCCCAAGGATATTAAACAGTAAGAAACAAGTTAATAAGCTTACTTGAAATTAGGGTGAACTGTATTATTCCTTTCAGTTTATTAAACCTGTTTTTAGCTATTGATTCCTCAAAAATCATAGGTAAAGATTTCTATAATTAAAGGTTATTTTATTAAAGGTATTATTATTATAATTTTTTAATTCTTTTTAAATTTTCCAAAAAGACCGTTAACTTCCAAACTTGATTATTGCTTCATCTCAAGCTATATTTATATAAAAATATCATGTAATACTAAGCTAACTATAATAATTGTTATGGGTCCTTTGCAATAGAAAGAGGAAAACTACTTTTTAGTAGTTTTTGAGATAAATCAATTTTTGTGAAATAAGCAAAGAAGATGAGGTGATACTAAAATAAAATACGCGATCGACTTATAAATTGCAAATATTGATTATTGTTAAAGTAAAAAATACAAGTAATATTCTTTATAATAAAAAAGGAGAAAGCAGCTGGAAAAATTATTACTAAATTTGCTAAATTTGCCGATTAATACTATTTTTTTTAGCAGAGACTTTTTTTAAAATAGATTTTAGAAGGTAAAAATTCAGCTTTCATTTAATAGTGAATGATTTTTTTATTTATTTTTTTTTTTATGAATTTTATTAGTTCCTTTTCTTTTTTTCTTTAGCAGTGGTCTTGGATTTTGACAAGGTAAAGGATTCAGCTTTCATTTAAATAGTAAGTGAACTGAACTTTTTTTTTATTTTAAGAATATTATTAATGTTCTTTTTCTTTTTTTTTTAGTGATGTTCTTAGTTTTTGACAAGGTGGAGAAGGGTTCAGCTTTTGTTTAAATGATAAGTAAACTTGTTTTTATTTTATTTTATTTTATTTTAGAAACTTTATTAATGTTCTTTTTTTTTAGTGATAATCTTAGATTTTGATAAGGTAAAGGACTCAGTTTTCATTTAATAATAAATGATTTAATTTTATTTTATTTATTTTTTGTTTTAAGAATTTTGTTAATGCTTTTTTTCTTTTTATTTCTTTAGCGATAATTTTGAATTTTAATAAGATAGAGGGTTCAGCTTTTATTTAAATAGTTAGTGATTTATTTTTATTTTAGAAACTTTATTAATGTTTCTTTCTTTTTTTCTTTAGCGGTAGTCTTAGATTTGTAAAGAATTCAGCTTTTATTTAAATGGTAAGTAAAAACTTTTTTTTATTATTTTTTATTTTAAAAATATTATTAATGTTCTTTTTCCTTTTTTTTCATTAACAGTGATCTTAGATTTTGGTAAGATAGAGAATTTCCTTTTTTTTTTAGTAATGATTTTAGATTTTATTTATTAAAATAGTAAATTTTTTTTATTTTTTTTGTAATTATTTTTAACTTGAATTTCAGCTTCTTGATATTTTTGTTATTGTTTTAAGAATATAATTGGCTATTTTTTTTTTTTCTTAGCAATAGCTATTGGATAAAATAAAATTTATTTGTTATTTTTTATTATCTTAATTAAATTATTTTAAAAATAAAATTCATTATTTATAAGTATTTTATTTATTTTTTTTTAAGTTTTTTAATTAATATAATTTAAGCAATTTTATTTATGTAATAATAATTAATTTATTTATTTAATAGTAAAATTAAAAAAATTAGTAAAAAAATATAGCTTTAAATAATAAATAATAATAATAATAAATAATTCAATCAAAATAAATAAAACTTAAATTATTATAAATAATAAAGATAATTAAAAACATCATTTAAAAAAAAAGAAATTAATAATTATATTATTTTAAGTTTATAATTAATAAAATTAATAAAATTTATTAATAAAAAAAAATTATAATAAATAAGAATATTTAACAAAATTAAAAATATTAAAATTAATTTTTCTTTTTTGGTTTTGATTTTAAAATTATTAGTTTAAGACAAAAATCATTTTGTTTATCTAGATCTTAAATATGAATATAAAATTATTCATATAAATACTATTGTTTTTCAATACTAAGTCCATTTGATATTATTTCACATGAAAATCCTATTGGTATTATTTTAATTTTTCTAATATCTATTAAATGCCTTTCTTCATCTACTATTTCTCTAATCTCTACACTACCAATTTTTATCTTTATTAAAAAAATGATGTTGTTTAAGAATATATGGTATAGTTCTAAAATAATTATTTAAAAATTCTGTTCATGTATAAAAAAAAACAATTCATTTTCCTTTTTTATCAAAAATTGTCTGTGTTAAATTATATTTATTAACTATTAAATCTTTTACAATTTGTATTAAATCATCCAAATTATCTACTTCAGCTTTTCGTAATTTTAATTTAAATAATTTAAAAATTTATCAGGACTAAATTTTGTATGTTCTGCAACTATAAAAGAATATGTTATTTTTTCATGAAGATTATTCATTACTTGATATATTAAATACATAATTATAGCATTATTTTTATTCTAAATAGCATAATTATCTATATAAATAATAACTTTTTTTCACTTAATCTATAAATTTCAAAATAATTATGTACTAAAAAAATTATTACATCAGCTTCTTTACCAACATTTTCTTCTTCTTTAATTAAATAATTAACCTAAATAAATATATATTAATATTAATAAATAATTTAAAATAAATATATAATTTAATATATACTTGTCTAGAAAAAATATTTTCACAAATTCCAAAAACTTAAATAGAATAAAGTGATTTAAAATATATAATATCCTATAAAATTTATTTTATATTAATAAATATAATTTAAATTAAAAATAAAAATAAAATTAATTTTAACATACTTTTTGTTGAGAAGAATATGGTAATTTTACTTGTTTAACAAAATTTCAAAAAATATGATTAATTAAATTAATTGAATTAGGAATATCAGTTCATAAAATTAAAAAATCTTTATAATTTTTTAACATTAATTTTGAATTTTCTATACATATTCTATAATTTAATAAAAAATTAAGTTAATAAAATAAATAAAAATAATAATATATATACAATAATAAATTAATAATTTACTTATAATAATCACATTCTTTTTGAGTTCAAGAAATATGTTGTTACCATTCAGTAACTTTTTTTTCTATATCTTATTTTAGCCAATATTTTGTATTAAATCTTATAGATTTACATAAAAAATATAAATACCTATGTGGTGATAAAAATTTTATTTCTAAAATATATTTATATCATATATGTCAAAAGGTTATTAAATGTACAAGTTTTTTATTCTTATTTATTTTAATTACTTCTTCAAATATTCGATATAAGGAAGAATAACTTTTTCTAATAGAAAGAAATATAATCGGTAATGTTTTCTTTTTTAAAATAACATCCTTAAAAATAAATTTGATTTAATAAAAAAATTAAGATAAATTTAACTTCAAATAAAATTTAATATATCAGGAGAAGATAAACTATGTGTATTAGTATAATTCATTATAAATGTTAAAATTTCTAAAACATCTTCAAATGAAATTGAATAATTACTTAAACATTCTTCTAATTTATACTTTTGTGGATTAATATCATTTTGAATATAATGTTTTCTTATATTCTCCCACTTTTTAATCCAATATCATAAATTACTAAATATGCTGAATTACAAATTTTAATTCTTTCAAATGAATATTCATTAGCAAATTTTTTCATTTTTGTTTATTTGTTGTAATATCCCCTCTATTTGTTACTGCAAGAATCCCTTTAAAAAATATGTTTTTTTCATTATTAGTTAATTGATTAAAATTTTGATATCTTATAATAGCATCATCATGATCAATTTTTGTTTGAAGACATTTTTCTTGATAACATTCTGTAATTTGTAATTTTTGCTTTTGAGTTTCTTCATCAAATTTATTTAAATTATTCTTAAAATTTTAATATTCATCATATTCATTATCATCATCAACTTCTACAAATTTAGCTTGCTGATAAATTTGATAAAATTTGTTAATTTGTTTAAGTGAGAAAATTAATTCATCAAAATCATGTAATGCTTACTGTTCATTAAGTTTATTAAGT